ATTTAAATTAAGTTACCTTTTCCTTAACTAAAAATAAGGTAAATAAAATTAAGGGTGTCAAAAAAAATTTAGGTAACAATTAAAAAGACATTAAGTTTGAGAGGTTTAACTAAATATTTGCAATGTGCATATATTTTCAAAGCTTTTAGGTTTAAAAAGTACTTACATATTTTTAGAATTTCTAGATTTATATTATATTTAAAGGACTTTCAAGTTTATCACTCATTTCTGTAGAAACAAGTGTATTATCGCCAAGTTAAACCAGATGTCATTTAAGGTTTATGTATTTAGAGCTAAATACCTGGCCTGGCTATTACCCAGACAATACAAATATGTCCATTGGACGTCCATTGGATATACAATTTTGGATGTCTAGACGTCCAAAAATGAGTTTTCTGGACTTCCGACATCCAATGGACGTCCAGTGAAGGATACAAATGGCAAACTTTTGACCATTCAGAGGACGTCCAATTCTGAAATATATTTGGAGGTCGAATACTGGACATTCAAAAAACGTCCAGGATTATATTTCCATTGAGACCACATCCCCACTCTTTTACAGAACCGCAACTCACCACACACTATTTTATATTATTAATAATTTGTTTATTATTTTCGCAAATCGCTATACACCATTTATTTATTTTTTATTAAAAATCACTTGACCTGAGCAGGTATCGAACTCACGACACATCCATTATCGTTTTACGCTTTTAATCGCTAGACGAGCTCGACCAAGGAACCACTTGAAAACTTTTTACAAGATACAGTTATAATTGAATAAGATTTCAAACTTCCGCTGATAGAATGAAATGCAATAGATTCAATTTGTCAATTTTTAATGACGTCAAAATACTACTGAACTTAAAATGAAGTCCAAAAATAGACGTTCTCTGGGTATCGATATTCAGCTGTCAATTTAATTAGCATAAACGAACGTATACTGGATGCCCGGATATGGACGTCCTGACCCTCAAATAGATCTAAAGTGGACGTCCATTGTACTATGTGTGCATAGACGAATTTTTAGAAATAGTACCTACTTATTTAAGTATGCACCAATATTTCCAAAATCAACTTCAGTATAATTCATTCAATAAATGTAAATATGAATGGGCAAAACATCTTTATATTGACATAATTGTAACTTACAATTTAGCCATAATAAAGGGATTTTGCCCACTTTGACCAATCCTAATTGAAACACGCGAATTTATTATATTTTTTAAATATAATTTCAAAATAAAATAAACAAAATCTGCAGTTCTTGTTTTTAAATTTATTTAAAAGATGAAAAACATATATTTCACAAAATACAATACCTACATATGAAAAATAAAATGTCCAAAATGATTAAATCATTATACTTAATATTTATGCATGTGATAAAATTCTTAGTTTCCGAATAACTTTTTTGGCACATTTTATATCTGTATTAGAATACCTAAGTGTGTAAAAATCTTCATCTTATTACTACACAAAACAAACACCAAAAAATATCACTTAACATTGCTCACGTACTAAACACAACTTGGACTGACTTTGACAGATAACATAATTTTGAGTGATACACACACATACTTTGATTTTCTTTTACTATACGGAGAGTGGTCGCACTGCGCAGCTTTTTGAGTGCCTTTTAAAAGGAGATAGAACACTCCGCCATCATGAACCCTTATTACGTGTTGCTTACATCTTGGCTTAATATTTTTAATAGGTGCGTTTTAATTATCCGCTTCTGCTTCGGAATTGTAGGTTTTCTTGTTTTAATCTGACAGGTTAAAACGACTACACCGACAATTCCGGAAGCAGAAGCGGATGAATAAAACGCACCTGATATTTTGCTTGCTGCTGTCAGTGTCAGTGAATAATATTTTTGAAGTCACAGTTTATTGCTAAATAATCAGTTAGCTCACTCGGACCAGTTGAAAGTTCCAAAATAACATCCACTCCAGGGATACAAATTCAGGATACGCAGAAGACTGCTGTTTTATTATAGGCGGTTGTCATATATTGTATTATCCGAGTTGAACAGTGTATAAACTGAAACATTGAGATCAAAAGTGCCGACGCAGAGTGAGCGATCTGATTCTTTAGCTGTAAACTGTGTCACAGAGTTTAAAATGGCCGCGCCCTATGTTGGGCGTGTCGGACATCTCTCTTGCCTCGTATAGTAATCAAAGTATGTGGATACACAACTTATTTTCGCACATGCGCGTTACAAAACGGTACACTGAAAACACCAAGCTGTCGCTTCTCCTTGATCGGTATTCTCGGCTTTGATTACTATACGGGGCAAGAGACAGGTCCGACACGCCCAACATAGGGCGCACACAATTTATAGCTAAAGAATCAGATCGCTCACTCTGCGTCGGCATCTTTGATCTTAATGTTCCAGTTTATACAGTGCGCAACTCGGATAACACAATATATGACAACCGCCTCTAATAAAACAGCAGTCTTCTGCGTATCCTGAATTTGTATCCCTGGAGTGGATGTTATTTTGGAACTTTCAACTGGTCCAAGTGAGCTAACTGATTCTTTAGCAATAAACTGTGACTCCAAAAATAATATTCACTGACACTGACAGCAGCAAGCAAAATATCAGGTGCGTTTTAATCATCCGCTTCTGCTTCCGGAATTGTCGGTTTAGTCGTTTTAACCTGTCAGATTAACACAAGAAAACCGACAATTCCGAAGCAGAAGCGGATGATTAAAACGCACCTATTGAAAATATTGCGCCAAGATGTATGCAATACGTAATAAGGGTTCAAAATGGCGGAGTTTTCTATCTCCTTTTAAAAGGCACTCAGAAAGCTGCGCAGTGCGACGATTCTCCGTATAGTAAAAGAAAATCAAAGTATGTGCACCTTCTCCAATATTTTGGTCTAGTATACCAAAGCGTACCAAATTTTTATGTCAGGCGAAACGGGAATATACCTTTGACTTTGACATACTTCGGCTATTAATAAGATATTGTAAAAAATACTACAAAAGTAATTCAATACTTTTCACATCTGAAAATCGGGAAATGTGATTTTTTTCCTGTGTGGCAAATTAGGTATAAAAAATATGTTTATATTTTCTGTTAAAGTTTGTGCACTAAAACCTGAATTACCCGCAATATTAAATGCCTTTACCAATTTTTGATCTAGTATTCCTTAATTTCTAGGAGCCACAGAAGAGAAAATGACCTTCTGGTGACACTTCTGACGATGAAGTTTCTACTGAACGGTGACTGAGAATACTAGTATTCTTATATCAGTGGACCCCGGTTTATGGCCCAGAAACATTACCAATGACGAAGTCAGAATATTGGTTGACCATGGTCCTCCTTTGATAGGAAACAATTATCAATTTCCAGCTAATAAAGACAAAGACAAAAGAAAATTTTAAAGTACTTTGTCAGAAAACTAGGAAATGGAGAAGAAGCAAATAGAATTTGGCTCATTTACCCAGTTTCAAAAAATCGATATTTTGTTTTTGTTGTAAAATTTTCAGTAAGACTTCCAATAGTTTTTCTGATACTCATGGTTTTTCTGATTGGCAACATGTGTCCTTGGCCATAAAAAGACATGAAACATCAATTGTACATAATGTTCACATGAATACATGAAAAAATATTAAAATTATCCACAACCGTAAACGATCATCACTTACGGGTTTTAGAAACTGAAAAAAAAAAAAATATTGTCATGACGTACTGGAAAGAATAGTTGCAGTTGTCAAATTTTTATCCAGACAATGTCTAGCGTTCCAAGGTTCTTCTAAAATACTTTTTGAATTTGATAATGGAAACTTCCTCAAAGCTGTCGAGATAATTTCCTCGATCCTGTGATGAGAGATCACATTAGTCGAGTGCAAAACTCACAAACAAATTCTTTAAAAATGGCCCATTATTTAGGCTATCAGATTCAAAATGAAATTATTGAATTAATGTGTCCTAAAGTAAAAAATAATATTTTGAATATGGTTCGCAGTTCCAAATATTATTCAATAATTTTAGACTGTACACTGGATACAAGTCATACAGAGCAAAAGAAGTCTCGTTTTGCGTTATGTCGTTCTAAATGACATTTCTAAAAAGACTCACATACAAGACAGTTTCATAGCGTTCAACCCAATATCTGACTCAACAGGGGAAGGGCTACTTGATTTTGTCGTTGGGCTTTAAAAAAATTTGAATTTAGATATTAAAGACATGAGAGGTCAAGGGTATATGGGACGAATATACGCGGAAAACATACTGGTTTACAAAAACGCATACTCGATGCTAATCCCAGGGCATTTTTTGTGCCATGTGCTGCACACAGCTTAAATTTAGCAGTAAAAGATGCTGCTAAAGTTTCAAATGAAACAGTTAACTTTTTCAATATTGTACAAAAAACTTTATGTATTTTTCTCTTCATCCACAAAAAGGTGGGATATTATAAAAAAGCATGTCCCGAAGTTAAATCTAAAACCCCTAAGTGATACTAGATGGTCAAGTAGGATTGATGCTATAAGGCCGCTAAAGTTTCATTTAATTCAAATTTTGGATAGCCTTCTAGAAATAGCAGAAAATGATACTTTTAACATAGAAGCTAGGCATAAAGCAAGTTCTATGCTATTAAGTATCCAATCTTTTAAATTTATTTGCATGTAATAATTTGGTATGATGTTTTATTCCAGATTGGCATTGTAAGCAAAATGATGCAAAGTGTAACGACTGATATCAAAGTGTGCCAAAACTATTTAAAGAATCTAGTTGATAATTTTAAAAATTATAGAGATGATAATATTTTCGAGGAAAAACTTGCTCAAGCTGGAGAACTAGCAGCCGCTCTTGAGATAGAGCAAGGTTTTCCTCTATTAAATACTGTTAGACGAAAGTATAATCAAAACTGTTCGATTATGAACAGAGAGATGAGACACCTCAAGATCCAAAAACTGTGTTTAAAATAAATTTCTTTTTAAAAGTAATTGATCAAACACTAAGTTCTTTAAATTGTAGATTTGAAATGATTGATTACGACAAGGTATTTGGTTTTTTAATGATATTTTTAAATTAAATGACGAGGACCTTTTAAAATGCTGTCGTGCTCTACAGCAAAAGCTAACTGATCAGAGGAGGCTGACGTAGAAGAAAATGATTTATTTAATTAGATAAAAGCCCTAACATTGTTTTCATTACCTGAAGCGTCGAATCCCCTCGACATTTTACAATATATATTTGAAAACAATCTAACTTCATCTTTACCAAATATTACCATTTCGTTAAGAATCCTGCTTACTTTACCTGTATCTGTAGCTTCTGGTGAGAGATCCTTCTCAAAATTAAAAATAATTAAAAATTATTTGAGGTCTACCATGTCACAAGAAAGATTATCGGGTTTGGCAATCTTAGCTATAGAGCAAGAGATCCTCGATAAAATTGATTTTGACAATATAATGAAAGAATTTGCAGCAGCCAAATCCAGAAAAAAACCTATTTAATTTTTGGATAATTGAATGTTTCATTTTTTTACTGTTTGGTTTGTTTTTTTGTTTGTAAGAATAAAATATTGGTTTTTGAAATATCTGTTGTTTCATTACAAAATTAAAATAAAATGTGGTTTCGCAATTGGCTCAAATGTTAAACGACTACAAGAATATTACAGCAAACCAGGAAATTTAAAAAACATATGTAACAGCTTAAAGTTGTTATTATTCAAAATATTATTAATATAAGTACTACATATATTCAAAGGGTGCCAAAATATTCCGGCACGCGGGCGGCGATAACCCTTGCGGGGGCCCTGTCCATCTCCCTAATTTCATAATAATCACTTGATAGCCTTGTAGGAGTAAAAATTGCTCTGAATCGTAATATATTTTGACATAGCAAGGGTATGTGCGATTTCATGAAAACACAAGCCAAAATATATTACGCATCAGAGTGCAGCGATCTGAAACGTAATATCATTTGGCAATACGCCATCCGGCAAGCCTCCTTCGGCTCAGATACGGTGCCGATTAACTGTGTTTATTGGGAATTTAAATAAAAATAGTTTAAAAAAATACCTATAAGACAAATTTAGGATATCCAGATATATTTAATATAAAAATTTGAAATGCTGTGTGCAAAAGCCACTAAAAATTTACAAAAAATGAGCGGCGCCGAGCTAGTGCCGCTAAATATATCCACTAAGTTAGCGAATCCGCACTTTTCTCAGGCTCAGTACAAAAGGGAGACTGGCGTAATAAAAAAGCTACAAAAAGTTAAAGAAAAACCAGCTGGGTTTGAATCTATGTCGCTACGATGGTCGCAACTATGGAAATTCAAGCTAGCGGATCCACTGATTGTTCGGATCCGGACCATTAACAAATTTGCAAAGAGCGTAACAAAAAAGCTACAAAAAGGCTACGAAAACCCCACCAGGTCTTGTATGGTTCCGCCACAGAGTGCCAATTAAAAGTATTCCCAAATTTTTTCGATTTCTTCACAACATTTTGATTGATGATGCATCGTCATTACGTAGAGTAAGTTTTCCTCGGAATTTCTACCACTGAAGCCGACTGAGCTTATGTGGGGTAGAAACGGCTATTATTATTAACCGTTGCGTTTTGGGGCGACTTAAATATGATTGATCGTGCCATTTGACTTACAGGTGCGGAAAACCCGGAAAACCACCATCATAATGTCGGAATACACACTGAAGTTGACACTACACTTTTAGCCGTTTTATCTTGAATTAACTTAAAAATTTAACACAGAATTTTTGCAAATTCTTCCGTGGTACTTTTAATGAGCGAATCCTACTTCTGATATAAGAAAACAAGATATTTTCATCAAATTAATCTATTTTCAAAATTAAACACAAAACAAGTAAAATCGACATTCCGTTGAGACAGCTAAACTATAAGTGTCCCGAGGGGTTAACCGCCGGGCAAATCTCTTGTACACGATAGGGGAAGTCTGAAGGAAGTCAGAGGAAGTCCGGGGAAGTCAGGAGGAATTCAAAGGAAGTCGGAGGAAGTCAGGAGGAAGTCCGGGGAAGTCTGAGGAAGTCAGGAGGAATTCCGGGGAAGTCCTAGGAAGTCAGGAGGAATTCCGAGAAAGTCTCCAAACTCTAGTTACTTTACGCATGCGCAATATCCCTCAAGTTGATACTAGATTCGTAAATTTGTCTGGCGTGGTTAGTAATAAAAGTAATAGATCTGCCACTGGCTGTCATACTTGTCACAATTCTTTTTCGACAGTAGTTAACTTTAGTGTTAAACATGATACACATACTAATGGTATGCTTCAAAATTCGTCCAAACTGCGCATGGCGTAAAGCGGAACGAACTTTCAAGTTATTTTGACACTTCTCGATTAAATAGTGTAAAATAATTTAATAATTTATTTGGTTTTGTGTTAGTAGTGACTATATTTTCCTATGTATAACAGGAAAGAACTAAATTAATGTTTAAAATGCCGGACTGCGCGGTGGAGATATGCCGACTGCCACATAATATGGGTAAATTCTTATCGAAGAAAGGACAAACTTAATTGAAGTTTCCCTATCCACTTTGAGGAAAGTAGTTGTGAGATTCTTCTTAAACATAGACGCAAGAAAAGAAAACTGAATTTCATCAGGTGAACGGGCCTCATTAAGCAAAGAAAATAAATCGGTATTTTAAAATTTTAGCAGATAAAACAGTAGTTTCCTGTCCCAATACAACGGTCCTTTTGAAGTAATGCCATGCACGAGCAGGACACGAACATATATAAGAATAAGATAAATGAACAGGAAAATTGGTTTTGAGTATTTTCAAAGTAAACTTGACAAAAAGTGTTTAAATTTACTAAATAAAAAGTAATGTTCCTGTGTACTTACTTTTTGTAAATAAATAATTTGTTTCTGCACACTTATTTTTATTTTACATAATAAGAAAATAGATTGCACGAGAACTACTGTGCCCATAAAGTACAAATTTGAGTCAAACTTGTATTTTTAGTCTATATTTTTACTTATCTTGTGGCCAGGTTAGGTATGGATTTTGTATATAACAAAATATCCAATAAAGCTTAAGTAACTGCATAATATCTAAAATTGGCAAAATATCGAATTTTAAATACTATCTTCCATTTAATGTTTATATTTCTATGTCCCACGTGACCGTCAGTCAGGTGCATGCGCAGGAATATAACGTTAGTCTGTGTATCGTGGTGTTAAAGACATTTTGCATCGTATTGACAGAATACAATCTATCATAATATTCTGAAAGATTGCACTGGAACGCTCAAATTTCCCAGAGAAAATAAGAAAATGGGCTCGAACAAGTTGGACCTTAATCTTCCAGATTATGATTTCCGTCTATCTGACCAAGATATACTCCGCGTTATTGAAGACGCTTTACAAAATTCCATAGAAGATGCTAAGGCGCTTGGCATCCCTGTATCTGAGAACTGTTGGAATTTTGTAACTGTTCCAGTGTCACGTGGAAAGACATTTAAGAGAATAGACCCAGAGTCGGTTTTGGAACCTATAGAAAATTCCCAATAGGCTCAACTTGAAGAACTCGATGAAGAGTCTGAGAAAGAGGGAAGAGTCGACGAGTGTAATTTTCCAGGTGTAAATCTGAACGATACTAATGTTATCTCGGATGTTATGAATAAAGTAAACGATGATATAGAGCTGCCTGAAGAGTCGAAGCTCCGCCTGGACCTTTGTAATGTCAGGCTTGACCAACTTGGACCAGATTTGCAATTGAAAGACTATTCTGATAAAAAATCAAATATATTGAATTAAAAAGGGGAGTTTCGTTAGAGTGTCAGTCGAAGATAAATCAACAGTTATTCGAAAATCCTCGTTGTGTTGGTTGTTAGATCAGGCCAAAGACAAAGTAAGCTCTGATCGACTGAGAAGATTCATTGGAAATCGTCCAAAAAGTCTGAAACCTGAAAACTTACAAGTAAAGTCTCAAATTAAAACTGGAGATTGGTGTGTATTTGAATACACTAAACTGAAAAATAACAAATGTGCCATAAAAGATTGTTTGCTTGGACGGGTATTATCGTTTGGCTATTTAGAACCTTCCAGCAAGATCCTTTGTCCATATTGGGCCTTAGTCCAAAGTAGAGAAGAAGGAATTGGATGTCATTGTGCTTGGTACTCCATCGATGAGGTAGGAATATTAACAGCAATAGATACTGATACCAAAGAAATATGTGAAATATCTATACAAATGTTCTATTCCTTATCCTATCATACAAGAAAATAAAGAGCTTCGAATGAAAATTGGGTGTGATACCATGATTGAATTAAGAAAACAATTTCGTACAATTAAAAAGCGTAAGTCCAAGAAAAGAGCAATTACACCTAAACGCACCAAAAAAATTAAAACTACTAAGCACGACGATACCTCGTCGGAGATTGAAGAGGATGAAGCCACTGCTTTCGATGACAGTACTGATACGGAAGTTTTTGATTCTAACAAATCGGACGATGATTATTTAGACTGTAGCCAGTCTGTGATTGAGACACAAGTTGGTGAAGCTCTTGAAACAAAACGTTCTACAAAAGTTGAAGTGGCAAACAAAACTGATAAGCTTTCAGTTGACAGTTTTGTTGTTTGTACATTTATTTATAATCAAGGTACCAAAAAGGAGAAATAAAAAAAAATTCATTGCTTAAGTGATAAAAAAAGAAAAATCAAATATTACTGTTTCTTGTATGTGTTACAATGAAAAAACGAAGCATTAGTAGGGGGAAGTCAGGAGGAATTCTGAGGAAGTCAGGAGAAAGTCCGAGGAAGTCGCAGGAAGTCCGAGGAAGTAAGGAGGAAGTCCAAGGAAGTTGTAGGAATTCAGGGGAAGTTAGGAGGAATTCACTACAAAAGAGGAAATCTTTTGTACAAATTTTTGCTGCGGTCAACCCCTCGAAGTGTCCCTTTATTTTTCAGGCCAGATTGCCTTAGGAACTTGATACATAATTCTAACATAACAAATATGAGTCTCAGGCTAATAAATAAGACATTTTAATGCCTTTGCCGTCACTCCGTTGAGAGGCAGGTACTTCGTCCGGTCCATATGTTTCGACTAAATACCATCGGTCCAACGCTATCGAATTTAAAATTCTTACATACAAATAATGATCATTACAAAGTAAATGTTTCAAAACTATCAAATTGGTAAAAAATGTCTTTACATGCGGATTTTTATCTAACAAACTTTTAACATCGCTAACGTTTAAAAAAGCCAAATGCGAGGCCGAATGTAAGATGTAAATCACCCATTTCTAAAATATTATTTCAAATATCAGAAATATTAATTTATTGCACTGTGCACATTAGTGAAAATAGTACAATTCTAATATTAATATTAATTCAAATATTTCAAAATGAAAAGTTTCAATACTTTGAGGCCGTTTTTCTCCAAACGGACAAAATTCACATGCGGAGCATAAAGGTCTGTTATTGGGCTTAGTAAAATGAAACCACAAAAAAAATATTTACGGTAATTTATTAAAAATATATATAAATATTTATTAAATGTTTAGCTTTATTACGAAGGCGGCATATTTCTCTCGTCATCCTCGTCCGAAGTATGCTCATCCAAATTCACCATATCTGTTTGCATTTCATTTTCATTCATGTCTGTCTCCCTTAGTACAGTCATCATTTGTGGTGAATATTGTTCTACCTACAAAACGTTTAAACGTTATAGTATTAAAAAAGGAAAAACTTGTATTTCGTGCAAAACTTTTTTATTAATCAATGCAAAGCGCTTTCGGCTTATTTGCCATCATCAGTGCTCATCTACAAAAATTGTGGATGTAAACTTACAATTTAAAAAGATTTAAAAAAAATATATTATAAAATCTGAATTAGACTTTTAAGTCAAAAGTTAAAATAGTATATATACAATTGTTTGAACAAATTAAAAATTACAAGAAACAAACAAAGTGACAAAAAACTGATATTGGGAATAGTGAGTGTGGGATAAGCCCTTACAAATCAAATCTGATCTCCAGAAGCAAGTTAGCTTGTGTGGAATTAAGGAATCATGCCACCCTCACTATTCACAAAATTGAAAAAAGGTTAACAAATTAGTTAAATGGTAATTCTCAATCAAGTTGACTATTTAAATAAAGTAAACACCTTTTTGACAGAAAATAACTTTAATTCTTTGACTAATAACCCTTTCAACACTTTCATTAGAAGAACTAAAGCTTTACTTAAATTAAACAAAGATTTTTTAGCAGAATTTCAAGCCTCAAATTGTATGGTACCATCCAATCCAATCATGCCTCGCTTGTACGGACTTCCAAAGATCCACAAGACAGACATACCCATTAGGCCAGTTGTAAGTTTCATCAACACTCCAGTTGCAAAAATCACCACTTTTATCTGCAACTTAATTCATGATCTCACACAATTCAAACCAGCCAACTCGGTAAGTAATAGCTTAGAATTTTGTAATAAAATCAAAAACTTCAACATCCCTGACAACTGCACCATGGTTTCTTTCGATGTCAGCAACCTGTATACCTCAGTCCCAAGGTTTGAGACCATGCCTTTGGTTCGGGAGGTTCTGAGAAGTTCAAACGTCTCTGTCAATAACACAAATATCATTCTTCAATTTTTAAACTTGTGCTTATCACAAAATTTCTTTACTTTTAACAATATCACCTACGAACAACCGGATGGCCTTGCTATGGGATGTGGCCTATCTCCTTTAATCGCTGATATCTTTATGAATCATTTAGAAACTAGTTACATTATTCCACAACATAAAAATATTTAAATCTACCACAGATACGTCGATGACATTTTTTGCTTAATAAATGGTAACGCCAACACGGCTTCTAATATTCTAAACTCAATTAATACTATTCATCCTAATATAAAATTCACTCTGGAAGCCGAAAAAGAATGTTGTTTGAACTTTTTGGACCTTTCTGTCTATAAACAGGGTAACAAATTCGAATTTAGCATATATAGAAAACCCACCCAAACAGACCACGTGATACACTATTCTTCAAATCACCCCCACCAACATAAAATGTCTGCTTTCTATTGCTATATTCATAGACTTCTTTCAATTCCTCTAAATAAAATTAATTATCTTCAAGAATTAAATATACTTAAACAAATTGCATTTAACAACGGGTATGACCCGGACATAATTCAATCTCTAATCACCAAAATTAAGTTCAAGAAAATTTAAAAATTAGCCTACCCCAATTTAAGTCACATTAATAATTTTTACATATCAATCCCCTTCTGGGAAAATAACTTAGCTAAGAATATTTCAAAATTTTTTGCTAACAACGTAGATAACATCAAAGTATATTTTAAATCAATTAATAAACTAGACTCCCATCTAGTCAACACAAAAGACAAAACGAATTTGTTAGATAAGAGTGGAGTATACTGGTTGCAATGCAGCGATTGCGATGCCAGTTATATCGGCAGAACTTGTAGATCTCTGGGAGTCCGGATAGGCGAGCACATCAAGAAGCCGGACACATCTGCATTCGGACATCACTTAAGGTTCAATCAACATAATTTCAGCCCAACAAAAAACTCCAAATTATTAGTTAACTTAAACACAAAAAATTTCAATTTATTAGATTTTCATGAAGATGTTGAAATTACTCTCGAAAGAGACAACAATATACTCTGTCTCAACACTCAAGTGAACCTTAACAGAAATTTCATACCACTCCATAGACAACTCAATTAACCCTCTATGATGATGTAGGTCCGAGTCAACCAACACAAGCCTTCGAGAGCCATCCCCTCCTAAACTCGATTTCACCCATCAGAGCCTACCTTTGGGACCATGGTACTCCTTTGTTTAAAACTTTTTTGTTCTCTATTTTGTCTCTTTTAACCATGAGTACGCTTGTTGAGTGATTTAGTAATTTTTAGGACTAAACATCAGATTCACCTTTAGGGACCGCGGGTTCAGTTGTGCCATCTTGGGTTCTCTGAAAGAATGTTCTGCAGAGCCCGGGTTGACACATCTGAATCACGCGAGTGACATTTTTGTTTTGTCTTGACATTAAAATAATAATATCTTTTATATTAAACATTTATTTAAATTTAACTAACAATAAATTAAATCTTTAAATTCAATAACAAATTTTGATCTCCGTTAACCTCCAATCACTCGAATCACACTCGGAGAAACATGTTCCACACTGAGGTGAACGCACCTCCTTCTGTTGACATTTAACAAGTCAAAGTCTTCAAGTGTCGCTTGTCACCACTGTCATGTGGAAACGGTTAAACAACTTGAACCAAAATGAAGAGATAAATTTAAATTTGAAAATATTAATATTAATAAAATTATGATTTAGCAAGTTGTAAATATCCGAAATATATAATTTTGGGAGTGAGGATGACCAGGAACTTGTTGGATACGTTGTGGACAGTAGGTAGACTTTTTCATAATTATAATGTATATAAAACATATAAAAAAAACGTTTTTTTTACTTCGGCCTTCTGCGTTTTACTTTCTTCATATCAAATATTGCATTCTAGATTCAAATTTCAATATATCTTCCACAGTCACCCTCTAATTGTAAATTTCTTTAATTTTAAATAATTTGTTAACCTTTTTTCAATTTTGTGAATAGTGAGGGTGGCATGATTCCTTAATTCCACACAAGCTAACTTGCTTCTGGAGATCAGATTTGATTTGTAAGGGCTTATCCCACACTCACTATTCCCAATACCAGTTTTTTGTCACTTTGTTAGTTTCTTGTAATTTTTAATTTGTTCAAACAATTGTATATATACTATTTTAACTTTTGACTTAAAAGTCTAATTCAGATTTTATAATATATTTTTTTAAAATATTTTTAAATTGTAAGTTTACATCCACAATTTTTGTAGATGAGCACTGATGATGGCAAATAAGCCGAAAGCGCTTTGCATTGATTAATAAAAAAGTTTTGCACGAAATACAAGTTTTTCCTTTTTGAATCTAAACTACGTGCACACAGCTGTCAACCTTTTTTGGTTTTTTTTAATAGTTATAGTATTAGTTCATATTGACCTACAGTTAAACATGGACATTTTAAAAGAGACATTTTGTTTCATGGGGTATTATAGGCCAGTCAGTAAAGACATCCTATTTTGAATATTACACATTAATTACAAAAGTTTTCAAACTTTGCAATAATAATCGGCTAATTTAAATAACACTAAGTTTAAATTTGCAACCATTTCCAAGGTCCGGAACTAGTTAATTTATACCAAAATGGCGCTTTTGTTTATAATGTTGAGAAAAAATTGCAAAAGTGCTGCAAACTTGAGGCAATATATATTGTATTATTTTCAACATTATATCAAATTTGCAACTTTTTTGAAAGTCCGGAATATGATTTTTTTTTTGTAAAATAGCGTGATGAAATGGTACAACTCTACTTTAAGGTAACAGTCTACACGTCAGCTAATAAAGTCATTTGTTTCGTCACATGTGCGCGGTGACGACGTTTTTCGCGCCCAGTCATTTCATGTTATAGGATGTGACTAGTTGTATCAGTGAGTGTGCTGTTTTTTTTTTTGACAGATTTATACAAAAATTAAAAAGTTTTGAAAAATATTTTCTGTTTTATATGTAAGTAAAGGTTATATATTTTGGAAAAATGATATTTTTATTAAAATTACAGCTAATTAAATGTTTGTGTCTTTAAAGTAACATAAATATATAAAACCGAAACCATGTGGCTGCCCTTTAAATATGAATAATAACAAGGTACCTCCTAGTTACTGATTATTCATGTTTATTGCAGATCATCTATTCGGCTGTTATCGGCTGTTATATTTTGTAGAAAAATAAAATGGATCCGGCTATATTTTATGGACGTAAGAAAATAACCATTGCCGAGCCTGTAGATGAGAGTGAAGATGACTTGGCAGCACAAAGTAATGAGGATGAAGAATGGTTTGTTCCTACTTCAGATTCGTCCAACAGTTTTGCTGACGACTCGGACACTGATGATCTTAAACAGATTACGTATGCTAGCAAGAATAAACAAAAAGCAAAGGGGCGATCCATTTCCTGGAGAAACGTGAGAACTATATCTGCTGTACCCGAATGGAAAGGTCAGCTACCAGTCACACTGGGACTGAAAGAACCAGTTGACTACTTTAGGGGCCTTATTGACAATACTACTCTAAGGCTTATTGTAGAGCAATCTAATATTTACGCCATTGGAGTCAACCCTAATAAACCACTAAATCTTAGTGTAGAAGAGCTGGAACAATTTATTGGCATTTGTTTTTACATGTCAATATTTTCATTACCTAGAACAAGCCTATACTGCAGCATGTCGTGTTGAGTGTGTTAGTCAGACGATGTCGTTACACCGTTGGAAAGCAATAAAGAAGTTCCTGCACTTCAACAATAAAGGAGTACTTTTGAGTACCTTTGCATCAGCTCATCCTGTGACAAATGTTGAACGATGGGATAAAAAAAAATTGTTGTACCCAGGCCATCGGTGGTAACTATTTACAACAAACACATGGGAGATGCTGATCTTGTAGATTCTTTGCTAGCTTTGTACCGAATCAAGATTCGCTCCCGAAAATTGTACCACCGACTTGTATTTCATATGTTTGATTTAGCACTCGTTGTTTCCTGGCTACTGTATCGCCGTAACGCTGACCAATATTTACTCCCAAAGA